CCTTAACGGCAGGGAAGTGGCGAGCAGGATGATGAGGTGAGGATGACGAAAGCACGCCGGGGGAACATCTGGACAGAGCCATTGGGGCGGAGAGGCGTCATCCCAACAGGAGCGTCTCAGCCGGCCGGAGAGGAAGGACTGTAGACAGGTTACCACCAGGTGACGTACGTCATCAACATCCGCGGCAGATATCTGAGGGCAGAGAAAGCGACAAGTTCAGCAGTACTATTGCTTAGGAGGATCCGAACTAAAGCACACATGCTCCATTAATGCAAGCGAAAATGCAAGTCGCGGGAAGTGATTGAAAAGAAGCGGATGCGATAGCTGGAACAAAACCTCTATTCACCCCTATCGAGGATAGGTTCCCGCTTGTGCACTAATAGTTGATGGCCGGCGTGCGGGTCATGACCTGATGAAATTTCATCATCCATGATAGACTTGGGCATGATTACTGCTCGGCCATCTGGCGCTGGCAGTAGACGAAGCATTCGTCTGAGTGCTCCCCGAGTAGCGACTTGCTTTGGCCAGAGTGAGCATCAGCACTGGATATGAGTTAGACAGGTCGTCGCACTTGTTAACAGACCCGTAAGAGCATGTAACCCAGAAGGAGCAATGCACAAACACTAACGCGACATGTTTGCATGCCAACTATGTTTGTAAATTCCTCTATGCTTTCAAAAAGCTACTGGATAAAATACACTGCAGCAAACTGCAGAATAGTGTCCAAGGAGTGGACTGAAATGATCTACCAAGTGTAGGAAGGAAACGGGATATCTGCAAAGCAACTTCTGTGAATGGACAGGATCTGCTCGCCAATCTCCACCATAGTTGGCAGCGGTACAATGTGAGCTTTATAGTACAAGGTAGTGTAAAACATTTGTGCTTGACTCTAAATACGAAATTGTTAAAAAGACCAGCGGATCGTCACTACTGATGGATAATGACTGTCTCCAGTTGCGATAATGAGAAGGTCATTGAAGATGAAGGAGAGAGGTGGAAGGAAGGGAAAGAAGAGGAAGAAGGAAAAGACGGAGAAGAGAAATAAAAAACAAAGAGAAAATGAAGAGAAAGTTAACAGTCAGTAACACTTGGGTGTAGATTACTTCCTAATCCAAACCTGCACGAAGACGGCTAAGTCAGCTGTGTCTATATTGCAGCTGATTAGGCGAGCCTGTATGGGGTTGAAAAAGGCGGTTTCTCCAAAATATTTGGAAGCTCCTTGCGGCAGCACCTAGAATTAGCTTAACATTAACAGAGTGGTTGCAGCGTGGAATGCTCTCCCAGAAGAGGTTGTCCTCTCCACTTGTGTGAACACATTTAAGACCAAACTAGACATGCACCAAACATTTTATTCACCAGTGTAAATCTGATTCACGAGGGAGAGTATAACACATGCTTATTACGCATATTTATAGCGCATACGTAGTATACTACTCGTGCTAAGCAAGTAGGCATATTTTATTAGTATTTTGACGCCATCCGCTTTTCTCTCTTCGTTTGAAAGCATGTAATTAAAGTATTTTTCCCTTTTTCTGTCCACGCACTTCTAAGCCACCTTATTACCAAAAAGGAACTTGAATATATTCGCCTATCTTTCCCTCAATAAACGGATATTGATAGGCATGGAGACTTTGCACTGTCAAAGAGTGTACAATCCTGGAGAAGGTCTAGAGATGAGCGACAAGAATGACCAAGGTTCTGGGAACACTGCTCTATGAAAACAAGTTGTAAACCCACGACCTATTTCCCCTTTTCTACAGACAAATAGTATTCCCTATTGTGAATGGCCTGGACTGTTGCTTTGTTTCCGGAGTTTCCTCACTCAGGTTAATACGCTCACTTTGCGCGGTCATTCCCTAAAACTACGTCCAGGCAAAGCAAGGATCGATGGCCGCAAGTCATTAGTCAATAACAGAATGGTTGCAGCGTTAAACGTTCCGCCCTGTGATGTTGTTCTCGCCACCTGTGTCAATTCATTTAAGAGCAAAGTGAACACGCATCAAGTTACTCACAACACAGCTACACGCAAAATACAAACCAATTACATGTAATCATACTACTGGTAATATGAGAGTAGATGTTTGTGTTTACTCTATTCGATTAGCCGATAGCCGCTACTTCGGAACCAAAAGGCCGTTTAAAGCCTTTCGTCTATCTTTCCTTTAATAAAACTGAACTGAAAAGGCAGAAGAAGAAGATTACGACGAAGAGGGGCGTGAAAAGTTTGGTATGGTAACTGAACTAAAAGCAGAGGGGATGATGGGAAAATCGTGCGGCAAATGAAGGCGTTCGGATAAGCGGTCAACGGAAGTGCGTACTTTGGCCCCTCTAAAGCTTCCATTTAAGACCTATTGTAATACCTAGCTTATAGATGGCGCACTGGAATGCAAGTTAAGAAAGCTGCTGCCGGTCGATTTATTCTAAAGTGATCGAACCTGGATCGAGGCACCGCAGACCCGCCTTATATGAAGTAGAGTAAAGTCACACACAACTAACCTCATCACAGTCAGACTTTCCAACAATGCTAGCAATCAGGTTTGGAAGGGACCAGGTCGGGCAACAGGGGGCAGCAGCAAGGAAGCCCGAAGACTGTCTGGAACAGACTTCAGTGAAAGCCGCAAGGGACTCGATGCGCTTCTGAAGAGTGCAGAGACTTTTCACAGCACTGACGTCTGCCAGAAGATGACTGGCATTGTCGACCTCCGAGTCCAGTAAAACAACCACCTTGCCCAGCGATGCAAAGTGGCTCCACAGCCCACTGTTACTTTGATCTGAATTTAGATGGATGAATCAATAGTAGCAATAATATCGCGGCCTTGTTAAGCAACAGAGTGTAAAACCTAATGGGAATAGTGTAAGGGTGCATGGAAGTTGGGATCCGCACAACAGGTTAATACCAAACTAAGCGTTTTAACTTTTTAAAATTTTCAGACCTCCCCCAGGGAGGAGGGCGGTAGCAGATTGTTCATTCTTCGTGAGCGTGATTTTTGCAGGTGGCCATCAAGACACGCATTCACAAAAGTCGGGCTCCTGGCGTGAAACAGTTTGTAAGCACGTTGCATGACAATCAATATTACGGTCCCGCCTAAGCAATTATTTCGCCAAATATAAGTATCACCGTAGGGTCAAATACCCCAGAATGCTGTAATACCCAAACGATAAATAACGTATGAAATATTTATTTTGTATGTAGCGATAGCAAACAAAGGTAACCGTTTAGTCTAATGG